GGTTATTTGGAGATAGGACCTCACTTTTTCCCAGGCCATCTGAGCCTCTGATTTTAGGCTTCCTACTATATGTGCCACCACACCCAGGTTTTTTTCTCCTCCCTGAGATGAAGTCTTGCAAACTTTTATTGCCAAACTGGCCTGGAACTGTGATCCTCTCAATCTCAGCCTCCCAAGTAGGTAGGATTACAGGTGTGAGCCACTGGTGTCTGGTGGAGTCTTTTTGTTTCTTTTCTTTCGAGACAGGGTTTTACTATGTTGCCCAGGCTGGAACTCCTGTGCTCAAGCAATCCTCCCTCCTCAACCTCCAGAATAACAGACTACCAGTGCTTGCCACTATGGCCAGCAGGTCAATTTTTATAAAATATTTAGAACAATGCCTGGGAGAACTACATGTGTATTGGTTTAATACTAACCAATAAATAATACCAAATAATAATAAAAATGGTACAACTCTTTTCACTATGGTTGACAGGTTTTTATCAAGCATACCCTCTTGCCTGGGTCATGGGGTCTCTTTCAGGCTGTTAGGCCTTTGTCACCCTTTCTGTTTTCTTTTTAATGGTGCTGAGGGTCACACCTAGGGCTTTGTGCATGCTTAATCACACACACTGCCGCTGAGCCCCACCCCTAGCCCTGCCATAGTCTGCTAGGATGTAACAAAGGCTTTTAACTTCTGCAAACAGGGAGAGGTCAGCTCCTTGGGGTCAGAAGAAATGACCTAGCAGGGGTCAAAGAGGCTCATTTGGGTAAACAGTAACACAAGAAACTCATGTCAGTCTTGTTCTTTGGGTCCTGACAGTTGCCGACATAAAAAGTGCCCAGTATTTGTAGGATTCATTGATGAATCCACAACTTCTTCAAGTCCCTGATCACCTTTTGGGGCTGGCAGACAATTCACAGCTCTAGAATTTCTATAAAGAAGGGTCTTTGGGATGGTCATGTAGCTGGAAAGGAAACCAGCAAGCAGACTTGTCTTCAACTACGCTCGTCTACTTAGCACACTGCTTTATTTGCTATGGTCCCAATGTTGGAAATCACAAGGGGACTAAATGCTCCCCAACTCTCCTGTGACATGTCCACAACTCTCCTGTGACATGTCCACAACCCTCCCCTCTCTCCCTCCCCATCCCCCCCAAGTATTCTCTACTACTTCTCCCAATAAAAGGGGACTTTTCCTTCTCAGAATTTAGAATTTTACATTTATTTGTTTGCTTGCTTGCTTTCTTCTCCATGGCTGTATTATTCACAAGTGGAGCTCCAGTACAGAATCTGGCACGTTACACTCTCAATAAACATCTCTTAAATAAATAAGGAAATGAATAAATAAGCAAATCCTGTCATTTATTATATGTACAAATCAGCAACAATAACAAAAACACAAAGATGGTGCTGTGAAAGAGTCTTCTAAAACACTTGGATCTCTTTATTTTAATTAACAATGAAAACCTGTACATATTTGTCATGTGCCACACGATGTTTTGGAGTATGTACACATTGTGGAATGGTTCAAATGGGTAATTAACATATGCATGACCTAACTCATATACTTATTTTTTCATAGTAAGAACACCTAAAATCTACTCTCTTAGCAATTTTTAAGAATACAGTAGGGCTGGAGTTGTCGCTCAGTGGTAGGACACTTGCCTAGTAAGTGTGAGACCTCAGATTTGATTCCCAACACCTCTTCCCCCCCAAAAAGAGGATATAGCAATTGTTATTAACAATAGTAACTATGTTGGAAAAGCTCTCTTAAACTTCTTCCTCCTTTTACCTGAAGTTTTCTATCCTTTGACCCAGGTCTTCTCGGTCTGCCCCCAAATACTTGGCTTTGAGTTTGGTGGGTTTATTGCTTGTTTGCAGAGCAGAGAGTCAAATCGAGGGTCCACATATGCTAGGCATATGGTCCACATATACTGGGCAACTGCTCTGCCCCTGAGCTCACCCCCGCTCTAAGGCTGGCATTTTAAGATGAATAGTGACAGTCACCAACAGACTTCAGCCACAGGTTGTGCTGCAGGAACTTTATGAAAGGATGCAGGAAAAGAGAGAAGACTGTTCCCATGAGAGCCCCCAGGACAGTTAGCTAAAACCTGCTCTTGTTCCCTAGAGTTTGGCGCCTGGTGTTCTGCCAGCAGTCATTGCACAGAAGGTGCAGACCTTCCTAGAGAAAGAAGGTAACTCCTCCATCACTCTTTCCAAAATAATCCTGGTTGCCCTCTATTGAGGACACATTAGTCACAGTTTGGAACAAATTTGGGATGGTGATGGGAAACACAGGCTTTCTGCAAGAGTTTTTCATCAGAGTATGTTGAGCTGTCTGTTTTTCCAGGGGTACCAGACAGGGCCCTAGAGTTTATTTAAGTTCTTACTCAAGAAAACACTTGGCATTCTGGCATAGCTTGGCTGACTCACTGGTTTCCACCCAGGACTTAAAGGTGAGGTGGGGTTGTGGGATGTTTTGGCACAGTGTCGTCCTGAACTCAGATTGTAGAGACCACTCTGGGACCATCTTTCACACTAATGTCTGCTCCAGTGTCTCCTTGTGCACATACACAAACTCCCAGGAGACTTATCACTTTAGTGGGAGCCACAGCTATGTCTTCATAGCAACTGATGGGTACTCAAGTAACACAGAACCTTCTGTCTCGGGGAGTGGCTCAAGTGGAGCATTTGCCTAGCATTCATGAGGCCCTGGGTTCTCCAGGACCACAAAAAACAAATTTTTTTTAAAGTTAACAGAAGTTATAAAATTTTTTTTGGCAGCACTGGGGTTTGAACTTGCTAGGCTTTTGCTAGGCAAGTGCTCTTGCCTCTTGAGCCACACTGCCAGCCCTTTTTTGTGTGGTGGTTTTTTCAAGATAGGGTCTCAAGAACTATTTTCCAAGAGCTGGCTTCAAACCATGATCCTCCTGATCTCTGCCCTGAGAAGCTAGCATTACAAGCATGAGCCACCGGCACCCAGCAAAAGTAACAAAACTTTCTTAGAGGCCATGGTGTATGTATGCTGTCACTATTTCTATGCTGTGTGTGTTGCAGCAATGGTTCAGAATGTATAATCTCTGTATGTATGCATAAAACTCTTACTCCAAAAAGTCAACTCATTCTTCCTTGTTTCCCAGAAAACCTCCTAAGACAATCCACCCTTTCTCCTGAACACACAAACTATTCCTCTCCCCAGGGCATTGCATCAGGGACCTTGTGACAGGCTTGAATGGTATTACCAATTCAAAAATTGCTGTTTTATTTTCCCTTTATACAACTGATTACTGTTTTCACATAATTTGTTCAAGTGTTTATGTATTTTCCTAATTGAGTTATTTCAGAACATTCCTTCTTTCGTAGGACACTGTGTTCATGCCCCATGTTCAGGTTGAGAAGCTGAAGCCCAGGGCTGAGTGTAGTGGCTCATACCTGTAATCCTAACTGCTCAGGGGGCAGATATTGGGAAGACTGCAGATCCAGATCAGCCTGGACAAAAAGTTAGCAAGACCCCATCTCAATCAGTAAAGGCGGGTGTGGAGAAGAAGGCATAAATAGGAGGATCCTGGTTTAGGTCAGTCCTGGGCAAAAACGCATGACCCTATCCCAAAAATAACTAAAGTAGCAAGGGCTGGGAGTGTGATTTGAATGGTAGGGTGCTTGCCTAGAGAGTGTGAGGCCCTGAGTTCAACCCCCAGGACCACTCTCCCCTGCCCAAAAAAGGAGTGTCACAGCAGAAGTCAGAAATCCAGGTTTGCATTGCACGATGCAGGTTTATGACCGTCTGGCCTGAGGTTTGGACTACCTCTTTCACTCTAAAAACTGCAAATTTGAATAATAAGGTGTATGGTTCACCTGATGCTCAAAATGAACAGAGTTCAACTGAGTGATGCTGAGCAAGGATGGCTTCCCAGTCCACCAGCCTTTATTATACTCTGCTGTGGTCTGAATGTTTGTGTGGTGTCCCCTGAAAATCTACCTACCCTCCCCGCCACACAAAGTGATGATATTAGGATATGGGGCCTTTGGGAGGTGACTGGATCATGGAGGCAGATCCCTCATGAATGCAATCAGTGCCTTTATAAAACAGGCCTGAAGCTGGGCATGGTGGTACACACTTGTAATTCCAGCACTCAAAAAAATGGCGAGTTCAAGGCCAGTGAGACCGTCTCAAAAAGAAGAAAAAATAGAAAAGAAAAAGCTGGGTGCAGGTGACTCATGCCCATAATCCAAAGTACTCAGGAGGCAGAGATTGGGAGGATCACAGTTCAAGGCCAGTCCAAGCAAAAAGTTAGCAAGGCCCCCATCTCAAATAACAGCTGGGCATTGTGGTGCATGCCTGTCATCTCAGCTCTGTGAGAGGTCTGAGTAGAAGGATCTCAGTCCAGACCAGCCTGGGCATAAACACAAACCCCTATTGAAAAAATACATAAAGCATAAAGGACTAGAGGTGTGGCTCAAGTGGTAAAGCTCCTGACTAGCAAGCATGAGGTACTGACTTCAAACCCCAGTACCACAAAAAAAAAAAAAAAAAAAAAAAAAAAAAAAAAAATCCTAGCTACTCAGGAGGCAGAAGTCAGGAGGATCACAGTTCAAAGCCAGCCCCAAGCATATAGTTCGAGAGACCCTATCTCGAAAATACCCAATACAAAACAGGGCTGGCGGAGTGTCTCAAGTGGTAGAGCAGCTACCTAGCAAGTGTGAGGCCCTGAGTTCAGACTCTAGTACTGCCAAAAAAAAAAAGAAAGCAAAGAAAGAAACAAGGAGATTTGAATATGGCTAAGCTCTGGGTTGAGCCTGCAGAGTGACTTGCACACTTTATGGACAACTAAATTTCTCCATGAACAAAAGGGCCAGCTGGGCTGGGCCATATACTGCTCCAACATAATGTCCACTCACATAGGATAGGCCTAACAAGGGCCAAATATGAAGTGTTCATCACAAACAGATGCTAATCACACAAGCACATTGGAATGTTCTGTACAAGTCAGTCATAGAAATATAAGTGGTAACACAACTATTTTGAATCACACTATTTTATTGTCCAAGAGGCTCCTTCAGTGGCCAGAACAGCAGGCACCCTGAGCCTCACTCCTCAGCACTCTGCGTGCTGATGTAGTCCTGCAGAAGTGCCTGCACCTCTGCCCGCCGGCTCATCTTGGTGGCCTTACCCTGGAAGCGGCCTCTCTTTCCTGCTCCTTTGCCTTCCAATACCTCAGCCACCCTGGGGAACAGAAATACAGTCAGGGAGATGGACTTAAGGGAAAAGCCACAGAAAACCAAGAGAGGGAAGCACTGTGTCTTTTCTGGGGCCTGGAAAAAGGAAAGGATGAGCAGGTGACTTTTCTTAAAAATACTTGCAGAATCCGGGCACCGGTGGCTCACCCTTATAACTCTAATTCTACTCAGGAGGCAGAGATCAGGAGGATTGTGGTTTGAAGCCAACCCTAGGCAAACAGTTTGAGAGACCCCATCTTGAAAAAAACCATCACAAAAAAGGGCTGGTGGAGTGGCTTGGGGTGTAGGCCCTGAGTTCAAACCACAGTACCAAAAAAAAAAAAAAAAAAAAGAAGAAGAATCTCTGCTACAAGGGGCTGGGGATGTGGCTCAAGCAGTAGAGTGCTTGAAGCCCAGAGTTCAAACCCCAGTCCTGCCAAAAAAAATTAAAAAGAAAGTTTCTTTAAAAAAAATAAATAATCTCTGCTATAAATACTTCCTTTCCTTCAGTGTTTCCAATGAACACATATTCCACAGAGCCAGTGAGGACTCCAAAAATCCCTAAATGCCAGAAAGAATATGAGTCATATACCTCCAGCTCTAATTAAAATAAGAAAACATGAGTTGGAAGTATGGCTCAAGTGGTAGAGAGCCTGCCTAACAAATGCACTTGAGTTCAAGGCCCAGTACTGCAAAGAAAAAAAAAAAAAGTAGTAATAACAAGGGTAAAGAAGTCCAACAAAGTTCTAATTTTTCCATAACAGACATATCCAATATCTTTTTTGATTTAGTCTCAAAATCCAAATTCTTTTCCAAAAAATGCTTGTGCCTTTGCTTTGCTGAGGCCTTAAGAACCTGCTTCACTGGGGCTAGAGGAGTGGCTCAGGTAATAGAGCACCTGCCTAGCAAGCATGAGGCCCTGAGTTCAAAACTCAGTATCACTAAAAAAGAGGGAGAACCTGCTTCATTTGCCAATTGATAATCCAGCACCTGTATTCATGTATCACTTATAAATCTAAATCTATGAGATTTGGAGCCAAAAGCCCCGAGTTCAAGTCTCATTCTGCCACTTTAACTGTGAGCCATCAAGTACACGATGTAAGGCCTCTCATCTGTGAAACTGGGATGCTGGTGGTGGTAACATCTTAGCTCAGCCCACCTCACATGCCTGTGACGTGAATCAAGGAGACTGCAGGTACGTTGGTCCTTTTAATTGGTGCTAGGCTGCACAAGAGTCTAGGTAGCATTACCTTGGCCCCAGGGTCTCCACAGCTTCAGCTGGCCCTGCCAGTAAGAAGAGCCCAGCACCTTTCTCATCTCCCACAGTTAAGAACAAGAGGTTCTCCTAGGAGGTAAGACAAGGAGGTGAGCACATGTGGAATCAATTCCTCCAAAGCTTGCTCTCTCCTCAGACTCAAGAGCAGAATTTCCCATAAGCCACCAGTAACACTGCCGATGTCTGATGACTCAGCCCCTCCACTTTGGTCTCCTGATGCCGTGAAACTTTTTGAACATAACTCTAAGAACTCAGGTTAAAACGCTGACCATGGTCTGACTCCCATCACCCATTCCAACCTTCCTCGACCAAGTACTGTGCTGCCACTGCCTAAAACACCATGCTTCCCTCTGCCTCCGCTCTTCCTTTTGTGCCTGATGACCTGTGGGCAGTGTTCAAGCCCCTCCTTGTAGTGTCTCCAACCTTTCAGGTAATACTTCTAGCATTTTCACTTCAAATTACAAATACCAATGGACATACTTTTGACTCCCAGACTAAACATGAGCTCCTTGAGAATCAGTATTGTCTACACAGAAGAATATGAAAAGAAAGGCATTCAGCCTACTGTCAGTGGCTCATGCCTGTAATCCTAACTACTCAGGAGGCAGAGATCAGGATTGGAGAACAGGCTGTTCTCTTGTCTCAGAGTGCTGTGATTACAGATGGTACCACCACACCTGGCCCAACTCATGTATTTCTAATATTGGGTCTTCATCACACATAAATCTAGGTGGATTTGAGGAACTAAAGCTCCGATAAAAGGAGCTGAAAGTTAAAAAATGTCACACCCTCAGAATGATCAATAGCACAGATTCAGCTCAATACCTAAAAAACAGCTTGGCTCATCACTAGTGCTAAGAAAATAGTGCTGAATGAATTTCTTTTTTTTCTAATTTACTTATTTTTTTATTATCATATTATTGTTGTAGTGAGAGTACACCATGACATTTACAAAAGTTCTTACAATATATCATAGTTGAATTCACCCTCTCTCTCATTCTCTTTTATTCCTATCGCCCTCTCAGCTGAATGAATTTCTATTCCCCAGTCTTCATGTGTTAATGTAGAAAGACTTCAGCTAAACTTATGCCCCTCATTTATATTTCCCATGGTCTCTTCCCAGGCATAGAGAATCTCATGCTCCTCTTACCTCTGACCCAATCTCATTGGCAATAATATTCATGAACTCAGAATCACCCTCCTTCCTATGACAAAGGACAAAGATATGAGACCCAGGTTGAAGTGGTAGCTGTGAAACTGCAGGAGGCCTGGCTCCTCCACTGAGACAGGCTGATGACTGGCAGGCCTTGCTGCTTCCTGTTGGGCACATAGTCCCAGACCCCTTAGCAAAGAGAGGGTGCTGGCTGAAGGCCAGCAAGATGTCCTGTCAGCCTCTGCAGTTTATAAATAAATGAAGGTTTGTTTCTGTCTCCTTTCAATAGAATTCACCAGGATAAGAGGAGGTCTGTTAGACGGTGTAGGAGGCAAGGGGAAGATGCTAATGAAAGTTACAAGGTTACAGAGAAGATGTTAATATCAAACCCAGGAAATGCATCAGTTAACACATTTTTTAGGGTCTCTAGGACACCACTTAGCAACCCACCTCCCACTATACTGCACACAGGAGAGAGTCTATGAACCCAACGTGACCCCCCTGCCATGTTTCCAGCTCCTAATTTCTCACCTGTGTAGTACAATCACACCTCCCCAGTCTGGGCTATTCCTGAGGCTGTTGGCAATGTGCACAGCTAGGTCTCTGAGCAGATTCAGATTGTTCTAAAATGGATGTGATAACTGAGTAAGCAGGTAGAAACAATAACAGAATGCACCACCTTCCCTCCACTTCATCCTTCCCCACATGACCCCCTTCAATAAACCACACATCTGACCCAATCTGAGGGCTGAATCTGGAGAAGTCTATTATAGGTAGAGCCCAGGCCCTCTCCACATTCCATGGAGTAAATTACCTTCTGCAGGAGCTTGGTGGAGTTCTGGAGCTTTTTCACTGCTTCCACATGATCCTCTGCTCCACACCTGCAAGACAAAAGTCAGTGGAGAGGCTGAAGGTATGGCTCAAGTAGTAGAGTGCTCGCTTTGCAAACAGAAACCCCTGAGTTCAAAACCCCCCAGTGCCACCAAAAAAAAAAAAACAAAAACAAACCTCAGCCAAGTGCCAGTGGCTCACACTTGTAATCCTTAGCTACTCAGGAGGCAGAGATTGGAAAGATTGAGATTCAAAACCAGCCTGGGCAAATAGTTTGCAAGATCCTATCTCAAAAATACCCAACATCAAAAAAGGGCTGGAGGTGTGGCTCAAGTACTAGAATACAGGCCTAGCAAGCATGAGGCCCTGAGTTCAAACCCCAGAACCACCACCACCACCAAAAAAGTTTTTTTAAAAAAAAAAAGCTGGTGCCAGTGGCTCATGGCTGTAATCCTAGCTACTCAGGAGGCAGAGATCAGGAGGATCTCAGTTTGAAGCAGCTCTGGGCAAATAGTTCTTGAGACCCTATCTCGAAAAACCCCATCACAAAAATAGGGCTGGTGGAGTGGCTCAAGGTGAAGGCCCTCAGTTCAGGCCCTAGTACCACAAAAAAAAAAAAAAAAAAAAAAAAAAATCAGTGGAAACCAGTCTATCTGCCCACATGCTTACAGTGTTAGGGGCATAAATCAAAATAAATCAAATCAATGATCTCCTTGTTAAGTGCCTTCCTTGAGACAAGGACCTGGGGACATTGTGAGGAGGCCCTTAGGCAGTTGGGAGAAAGGATACAAAGGAATAAACCATTTTGTGGGTCTGACTTGCTGTCCAAAGCACTTTGATTATTTATGATTGCTTCTTGCCCTCCAGAGGTAATAGCTTACAGGTGGGAAAGCTAAGCCCAGGTGTCCAGGCCCTAAGGAACAGAGAGCAACTGAAGGAGCTTACTTAAGCAGAGTGGTCAGTGCTCTTTCAGTTCCATGACTTCTGTCCATCCACTTCAGCACCCGGTTTCCAGCCAGAAATATCAGGTTGGTTTTGTTCTTTTTCCCCTTCTCAGTGCCCAGAATCTTAATGACCTACATGAAGGAGGTAACACACACATGCACAAACCACAGTCATCCTTGTTCCTGAGGGCAGGAGACACCTAGAACTCCTCCCCAGCCCTGAAGCAACAAAGGAGAGATTTCACTGGGACTCCTCAATTGTCTTCCTCTATCACTCGAGTCCTGTCATGATCCCCTGCTCCCCATACCCTCTCCCCACCTACCTGAAGGTCACTGAGATTGTTCACATGGGTACCACAGCACATGTTGGAATCCACGCCCTCAATGGTAACAACTCGAATGGGCCCAGCATGATCATCTGGCAAACCCCGGCCCCTCACCTGGAATAGAGGGGACAAAGAAGGGCTGTCTGAATTTTGATAAGGAGCGTTGGAGAGACATTCTGCAAAAGCCACTCTCCAGCTGTCCACTCACCTGCTCCACCTCAGGATCATCCAGGCTCAGTTCTCGAACACTCACAGGCAATCGATCTCTGATTTTCTCATTGACGTTCTGCTCAATGGCATCTACTTGCTCTGCAGTCATAGAAGGGCTGTCTAGCTCAATCACACTCCGGAGTCTCCCTAATTCCCTGCCATGAAAAGGTGAGGGATCACAGCATGCTAATTATGGCAACAATAAGAAAGTTTATAAAGAATGTTTATACAGGGGTTGGGAATGTAGCTTGGTAGAGGGATTGCTTGGCACACAAAAGGCCCAGAGTTTGATCCCCAGCACTGAAAAAAAAAAAATTCATATAGCCAAGCATGGTGGTGCATCCTATAATCCCAGCACTCAGGAGACTGAGGCAGGAAGATCAAACAAACAAAAAATAATGGTTATATGGATAATTCTCACAAAAAAAATCCCACTTAAAAAAAAATCCCAATAAGTAGGGATTGTCATTCCCATCTGACAGGTGAAGGGTATCAGGAACATGATCCAAGTCATGTAGCCAGTGAGTCGGTATGGTGGAGACAGGATTCAACCCTGTAGGTCTCTGGATTCCAAATTTTATGTTCTTTCCCAAGCAAAGGAAGATATCTTTTCTCTCATCCTTGTATTTTCCCTGAAAAACAAGCGGCCACACCACCACCCAGTCTACAAGAAGAAAAGAGCCAATTTTGAACATGGCCCTTTCTTTTATCCTCCTACTTTCAACCCATTTTTGGGAACAAAGCTGGTAGTGAGAGAAGTGTCACACCCTGTGCCTCCTGCTCACCATGAGGTTGTCTTCAGCCCAAACAGATGGTCAGCAACTGCTGTGATGAGATGTTGCCCTAAGCAAAGAACGAGAAACAGGAGAAAAGTGACAAGTCCAGCCACATACTCTCATAATGAGCTAACTTAAGAAATTCCCCTTATTTGTTTGGTTTGGCTTGGCATTTTGCAGTTCTGGAGATTGAATACAGGGCCTATGTTTACTAGACAAGAGCTCTACCACTTGAGTTATGCCTGCAGCCATTGTTTTGTTTTGTTTTGGTTCTGGTTTTGATATATGATCTCACTAATTTCCCTGGCTGGCCTGGAGCTCACAAGGCTCCCGCCTCTACCTCCCAAGTAGCTGGGATTACAGGTACATGCCACCATACTGATTTTCTATTTTAAAAGAGTGTTTTGGTGACTGAGCGTGAGTTCAAACCCCAGTACCACCAAAAAAAATTAAATGATTGTTCTGTAGCATTTTTGAGGTCCTGTTTGATCCCCAGCATGACAGAAAAAAAAAAAAGCCAGGCACCAGTGGCTCACACCTGTACACCTGTAATCCTAGTTACTGGGAGGCTGAGAGCAGGAAGATCACAGTTCAAGGCCAGCCCAGGCAAATAGTTTGCAAAACTTCATCTCCAAAATAACCAGAGCAAAATGGACTGGAGGTATGGCTCAAGTGGTAGAGCACTTACTTTGTAAGCACAAAGCTGAGTTCAAACCAAAGTCCCACCAAAAAAAAGAAAAGAGAAAGATTATTCTGATTGTTGTGTGGGAAAACAAGCTAAAGGGAAGCAAGGCTTAATGTGGGACAACCAGTCAGGAAACTATTACAGAAGTCCGGTGGACAGACTGAGAGCTGAGACTAGCATGACTGCAGTGAGAATGGAAGGAAGTGGAAAGATATTTAGAAAACAAACCAACAGGACCCAGGCATCTGGAATGAATTCGTCAATTTGAGCAACTGAGTAGATGCTAATGCCTGGCACTAAACACACAGGGTGTTTATAGAAGACCAGGTGGGGGGAGAGGCTTTTTCATTTCATTTTGGACATTTTGAATTTAAAAACCCTGTGAGACATCCAGGATATATCAATTGGGAAATCTGAAATACTTAATACCAGCAGTTATTCTAATATTTTTAACTACTCATGTTGTTTTTATCATATCATGCCTGAATCAAAGCTGATTCACAGTACTATGCCAAAAGGTTAATTCCTAGAGAATCTAAACCCTCTATCAATCATCATAGCATTCTCACATATATAGCAACTGAACATCCTATATGTCCCTATCCTCCCCACTTACCTGAATGCTGCTGCATGTGGTCAAACCTCCGCTCCCAGTCCACCCGGACCTGGACCTGGCTCCCAGGGGCCAGAGGTGTCTGTATGAAATGATCAGCCTGGGCCCCCTGGCGGGTAACTCTCAACACAGAAATGTCATTGATTGTACCTCGGTCATCAGGCTGGTGGAAAGAAGTAATCAACAGTGAGGCAGAGCTCATCCTACCTTCTATATACAAAGACCCTCTAAGAAAAGTCTATGGGAGACAGACCCAGAATCTGAACTCCCTAAGGGAGGAGGAAGAGGCAATGCCAAGTAAGATGGGTCCACCTTGTTCTATGGCAAGATTCCTCTTCACTCAGAATGCCTATGTATTTTGTTCTTCAGGAACAGAATAACAGAATCAAAACAGAAATTATAAATGAAGAGCTTAGTAAAACCCAAAGAATCTTAGTCCTCATTGTTGTCATCTTAGTTAAGATTCTTATCTTTGGGGCTGCAGGTGTGGCTCAAGTGATAGAGTGCCTACCCTAGCAAGTGCGAGGCCCTGAGTTCAAATGTCAGACTGCCAAAAAAAGATTACTATTATTAATAGCCTGTAAAATAATTTGAATTTTCCAGCCTCCCACACCACTCCATCTTCTGCATTGCTCCTAGAATAGATTCAACAATATTCATTCATTTAGAAAAGTACCAAGTGCCAAATGCTTACAAGATACCATGCCAACCCAAGAATACAACATAAATAAGATGTGGTTCCTCCTAGAACTAGAGAACACAGAACACAAACAGAAAAACAAGTCAATTGCAATACAATCTATAACTTGTCATTATATTAAAAAGTATATAATGTGCTAGAGAAACTCAAAGGAAATAGACCTAACAGTCTTGGAGAATCAAGGAAGACCTCCTGCAAGAAGTGATGGTGGGCATGAGAGCACACACCTGTAATCCCAGGACTCAGGAGGTGGAGGCAGGAGGATTACAAGTTTGAGGCCAGCCTGGGCTACATGTTAAAACCCTGTCTCAAAAAAACCAAGGGCTGAGGATATAGCTCAGTGGTACAGTGCTTGCCAACTATGTGCAAGGCCCCAGCACTGCAAAAAAACAAACTAATTTTTAAAAATTTAAAAGTATGTCTAAAATAAGACCTTCTATGGATACCTGAGATCAGAGATTTTCCTTCAGCAGGTCACAAAACCTATGGAGAAAATCACTGTAATAATGATGACACTAATATGAAACTCGAATTTCTCACTCTGAGTTTACTGAGTATGTTCTCTCATGTCACTTCTTTGTCTAAGAGCGTCCATGGCTCACCACTTCCCCGAGGGAAGTCTACAGACTTTAACCCATCTTTCAAGACCCTCTGAACTGGCCCCCAATTACCTTCCAATGTCATTTCTAGCCTGTCTTCAACATGTGCCTCAAGTTGCATAGTGGACTATTTATGGTTAAGGAGACTTAGCAGATTCTTTCAGGCTTCACTGCTCTCGTTTATGCCATACTCCTTCAAGCAAAACCTCTCCCACAATGCCCACCTTTGGCATTACTGACCTCTTCCATGTTCACAATAATGATTGTGTTCAAACTCTGTACCCTATCGCAGCATTGAAAAGATTGCTCTGTTGGGCTACTGTAACCTATCTACCTCACGTGAATCCCCTCAGGGGCATCTTTTTTTAGTCTCCGTCAAAAAGTCAATGCTAATTCTCTCCTCAGGGCCTTTGCACTGATATTCTGTCTGTTGTAGGTCTATGCTGAACTAACCTGACCCCTACCTAGGAGCTCATTCCATCACTCCTTCTCTTGACTCGGCGTTATTTTTATTTATATTACTGTTGCTTATATCTGGAATACAGGATTGCCTCCAATAAACATTCTGTGTATGTAAAGGCATTCTTTTGTTCACCTTTCCATCTTAAGAGCGTGGGCTAATACTAGCATGTGTCATAGGTAGACAAGTATGTGTTACAAAGCACTGGATTAACATCCATCTGAAATCACTGCAACTGAGAAAGAAGGAGCAGAATAATTGCCGCCTAAGCACCAAGACGGGATTTGGGGGTTCCTGGAAGGGGATCGGGCTGAGGGATGGGCCGGGTACCTGTCCCCCGCCCTCAGGGAAAAGAAGCGTGTCTTCCAGCACCACTTGGAAACCGCTCAGCACTTCTTTCTTGCCGTGGCTCCCGTCGGTCTGCAGCTCGGCGGGACGGCAGGAGACCACGGAGGTAGTGAACTAGACAGAGAGGGGTGACAGGTGAATCGTTCCGCAGCCGAGGCTGAGGTCTACCCTTACCGCTCTCCTTGAGACGCCCCCCCCCGGCTGCCCCGACTACCCGGCTCCATCGGGCCCCTGGCCACTGGCCGCACCTCCCGGGCGTAGCTGTCTCGCTGACACCTGAACGCCATCGCAGCCTCCCGCGACCCGGAGCGCGATATGCGCATGCTCGCACGTGCGCGCGGAAGAGGCTGGGGGCAGACGGACCGCTGCAAGGGACAAAGTTCGTTACGGGCGCGTGTCTGCGCGGAAGCGAGAAAGGGGTATGGTTGGGTCACATTCGTTCAAATACACGAACTGCGGGCGGGCGGACGGACGGATGGATTTGGTTGTTTCACAACTCTTTTAAGACTGAAAGAAGACCAGAAAATAGAACAGAACGCGCAGCCCGAACGCGGCCCCGGAATTGAGGCCTCGGGGTCTCTGATGCGGAAAGGTGGGCGTGCTACAGGCTTGGATGCGATGGAAATGGCGTAGTACGTTGTGTTTTCTTTAAATCAAGACATCCAGAATATTATTCCATCGTGTAACAGGTAGTCAAAAATTACTAAGATGTTTTGCTTTTCTTTTCCTCGTACAAAATTTTCGTAATTTAGCCCATCGCAGTTCCCACTACCCACACATTTCCAGCACTCTGTACCCATAGTGTGCTACCGAATTGGACAGCGCAGATAAAGTGGTTAACAAACCCCAATCAGTGGCTTAAGGTGTTAGATTAAAAGTTTTTAAAATGAACTCTCTGCTTTCAGATCGACTAAATACGGTTTGCAGAAGTTTCAGAATTTAGATTTTTGACAAATAATACAAAATAGACCCCATGTGTTAGGAAACACCTCCCGTGGGACTTGGGCAGCATCTTGTGATCCAGTACATTAATGTTTACGCTGCAAGATAAGTACGCTAAATAGAACAGCCTCTCGTTTTCGATTAAATTTTATTGCTAAATGAGTTCAGGTGTTGATTTTCTTTCAAGTCTTGGTTTTCATAACATTTTGCTTTCCAGAATTGTGGGTAAGAATACTATACAAATTCAAGTTTAGGTCCCAGTTCTGCCATTTATTGTCACTTGTTTCATCACCTCTGAATAAAAGGTCTACGTATTTTATAAGGAAGATATGAGGTTCAAAAAATTTTAATGAGCCAGGCATGGTAGCCTATATAATAATCCCAGCACCTGGGAGGCCCACGCAGGAGGATCATGAGATCAAGGGGAGCCAGGGCTATATAATCAAACTCTGTCTCAAAAAACTAACAAAAATGTAATGACAATATATAAAATATTTAGTAAATAGTAAAGAATAACAGTAATTTAGTTTTAAATTGTCCAGTTTTTTGAAAGTTTAAGGAGTAGTAATAAAATGATTAAAAGACATGAACAAAGCATGCTAACAAAAACATGAATTGCTAATAAAAAAATAAACACTGTGTAGTCTCATAATGTAAAAATTCAAATTAAACTAAGTACATATTTATATCTTGCCAAGCATGAAAAGATTTTGGAGAATGGAACGTTCTTATGGTAGGTGTGATTTGGTGCGGTTTCTTAGAGCAACTTGGGGCTAGAGGTGTAGCTCAGCAGTGGAGTACTTGCCTTGGGTTGGTTCCCCAGAACAGCACAGAAGAAAGTAATGAAAGGGAGGCAGGGAGGAGGGGAGAAAAGAAAGAAAAAAAAGGAAGGAAAAGACTAAAAGCAAGGGGATTGGACTATGAGCACATGATAAAAGCGAGAGCACACAAGGGAGGGGTGAGGATAGGTAAGACACCTAAAAAATTAGCTAACATTTGTTGCCCTTAACGCAGAGAAACTAAAGCAGATACCTTAAAAGCAACTGAGGCCAATAGGAAAAGGGGACCAGGATCTAGAAAAAAGGTTAGATCAAAAAGAATTAACCTAGAAGGCAACACACAGGTACAGGAAATTAATGTGAGTCAACTCCCTGTATAGCTATCCTTATCTCAAGCAGGAACACTTGTTCCTTCCTATTATTGCCTATACTCTCTCTTCAACAAAATTAGAGATAAGGGCAAAATAGTTTCTGCTGGGTATTGAGGGGGTGGGGGGGAGAGGGAGGGGGGTGAGGGCAGGGGGGAGAAATGACCCAAGCCTTGTATGCACATATGAATAATAAAACAATAAAAAAAAAGAAAAAAAAAAGAAAAGACTAAAAGCAAGGAAGGAAGGGAAAGAAAAAAGAGAGGAAGGAAAGAAGAGGAAAAGGGAAGGAAAAGGAAAAAAGGAAGGAAGGGAAAGAAAAAATGAAGAAGGAAGGGAAAGAAAGGAAGGAAAAGAAAAAGCAACTTGGCAACAGCTATCAAAATATTTAAATGTATTTTTCACCTAGCAAGTCTACTTTTAGAAATTTATGCTACAGATAATTCTGGCACAAATATGAAAAGAACTACATTTTAAAATATTATTGCAATGCTGAAAATTGAACAAGACTAACAACCTAAATGTCTCTCAATAAGGAACTAGTTAAATTATCGAAAATGCATTCAAAGGAATATCATATAGTCATGAGAAAGAATGGGTTAGATGTATACTGATTTGCAAAGATTTGCAATATATATTAAGTGAAAAAAGCGTAATACAAGACATACATGGTATGATTCCAACTGTATGCACAGAGATAGACATTATGCATTAAATTTCAATATATTATACTGTATATAAGCAATACGTGATACTGTATATGTTTATGTTCTATATATGTTGTATAGGTTGAGTATCCCTTATCCAAAATGCTTGGGATAAGAGTGTTTAAGATTTCTGAGTTTTTTGGATTTAAAAATATTTGTATAGGCTTTATTCGTTGAACATACTTAATCCAAAAATCCAAACATCCCCATCCCCAAAATCTGAAATTTTTTGAGCAGCATGTCAGGAATCAAAAGTTTCAAATGGCTCATGCCTGTAACACCAGCACTCAGGAGACTATGGCGAGAGGTTTGGGAGTTCCAAGATACGGGATTTCAGAATTTAGAGAATTTCAGATTTGGGATTTTTGGATTAAGGATGCTCAACCTGTGTATTCTTAGATACTATATAATTATGCTTTATATAAATTATAGGCATTATGAAATTTATAACACACTGCATTATGTATTTTAAGTATGATATAGTACAGTATGTATTATGTATACAAACGTAACAGTGGTTATCCCAATGGGGGGAGTACAAATTTAAATTTTATACCTCTCTACACTACATTGTTTTTAAATTATGTCCATATACTGCTTATATAAACCTTAAGGTTCACTTTTTTTTTTGTGGGATTGGGGCTTGAAGTCAGGACTTTGTGCTTGCAAAGCAGGCATTCTATCACCTGAGCCACATCTGGAGGTGGAGTCTCACAAACCATTTGCCAGGGCTGGCCTCAAATCCCAGCCTCCCAAGTAGCTAGGATTACGGATGTAACTCACTTTTTTTTTTTTTTTCTTAACAAATCCCAATACTCTACCAAGAGTTCAAAAGTAAAGTCTATGGGTATTTCACTTAAGTCACAGTCTTTTGTGCACATTAGGCATTCAAAAGTGTTCACAGATGAAGTAGTTGTCAAATGGAAGAGGAAACAGACATAGACATTAACAGACGTAGACATTGACCAGAGTAACAGTTTTGAAAATGTACAGAGATTTCTGGCATGTGCACGAAGCTGAGGTGGTTCTAGGGATGGGATAACAGAGCACAGATCCAGGCAAAATGAAGTCCCTCAGCTTGACTACAAGACTGTCCCTGGCATCTTTCTTTTTTCAACCTCCATGAGGACCAGAATCTCTAAGCACCAACACACCATCTTGAGAGGAATTCTGGGGAGAGAGGAGGCTTGCCTCCAGGAGGAAGAAGTACAAGAAGAAACAGAGAATGCTTCCTAGAGATTTATTATAACTTATGCTTCTTCTCTGGCTTTTGCTGTGCCACATATACACACATATTCAAATAATCAAGCAGCCCAAACACATAGATTCAGTCAGCAAAAAGAAGCCCTACCAGCCTACTCCCCCCTCCCACCATCTGATGCAGCACCATGCTCAAGTGCCTAGGAGAAAGACAGAAAGCACGAAAGGGGATCCTTTTTTTTTCCTCATGGTACTGGGGTTTAAACTCAGGACTTGTTTACTAGGCAGGCACCTAGTAAACTCTACCACATGAGCCACACCCAACCCTGAACGGGGATACTTAATAAAGAGATTCTAGAAAAGTTTAGTGATCTCAAAGGACCTTGATGCATAGCAGAAGAGCCAAGGCCCAGGATATGCTTTTCAGAGCAACTGAAGTTAGCCACAGCCTCCTCCCCGGTTCTTCTGTCACACAAAGTTAATTACTTGTTGCATCTGCACTGTCAGAATCATCCTGGGGAAAAAGGACAAATCATTGTATACTTTATGAAGAGTGAAATGCTGCTCATCCCCTTATTCTCCTAAATGATTTTCTAAACTACCTTTTTTTTTAATTTCTTTCTTCTTTTTTTTTTTGGTCTGGCTAGACAGACGCTCTGTCACTTGAGCTACTCTACCAGCCCTTTTTCTGTTGGTTATTTTCAAGATAAGGTCTCAGGAACTATTTGTTGGGGGTGGCCTCAAACTGCAATCCTCCTGATTTCTGCATTCTGAGTAGCTAGGATTACAAGTGTAAGCCACTGGAGTCTGGCTAAACCACATTTCTTAAGAGGCTAAAAATGAAGAATTTTAACTTTAGATAATACTCTGAATAGTACTCTATTAGGCATCGCTTATTTTCAGAACTTCAGTTGATACTACTGCTCCTCACACCTGTAAATGTACTCAACAGGGCCAGGTCTGCTCTAAAATGGAAAAGTAGAGGGGGAAGTGGAAAGAAGAAAGGTCTTGTGGGAGTTTCTAAAGCTTAGAGCAGAACATTTGACCTCATGTACCAAATTCAAATTTGGTTAACATGTACTGAAAATTATTGTGTGCTAAGGACTGGGATATAAGCTTTCTAATTGAATCTTTTCTTCCTTCCTTTCTTCCTTCCTTCCTTCCTTCTTTTTCTCTCTCTCTCTCTTTCTTCCTTCACACTGTTGGGGATGGAACTCAGGGCCTTGCATATACTAGGCAAGCACTATTCCACTAAGCTACACCTCCAACCCCACTGTGTTATGTGTAAGGGCTAAAAAGAAAAGCGTTGAGGAAAAGGCATTACTTACGTCCAGGTCATCCATGGCAGGAGGTGGTTTCTTCGTATTGACCTTCTGCAAAAGCTGAGGTAAACAGAAAATAGAGAAGGGGAGTGAGGATGAAATAATCTGGACCTGATGAGCCACAAGGAGATCAGCCAGCCATACCTAGCCAGACAACTTTTCCATCTTTGAAGCCCTTAATACAGCACTGGAATTAATTGGAAAAAAGTAAATTAATCCCCTTCTCAAAAATTAATCTAAGCTAGGCATGGTGCGTAGGCCTATAATACCAGCACTTGGGAGACTGAGGCAGGAGGATATGGAGTTCAAGGCCAGCCTGAGCCATGGCAAGACCCCATCTCATAAAGCAAAAAACAAAAACAAAATAACAACCAATAATTTAAACATACAGCCACACATAGGTCCCTCCTTATGAATCCAGATTTAGGTCTGTTAGTGTTTTTGCAACTTGAATAAAGAGTAGCTATATAAAAGGAAGATGGTTACGTTGGCTATCCTAAAACACTAGAAGGTGAATGAAAGTGGCAAATCAGTTCCCTTCATTGTGAGTGTTTTGTTTTTTGTTTTGTTTGTGGTACTGGGATTTAAACCCAGGGCCTACACCTTGAGTCACTCCACCAGCCCTGTTTTGTGTTGGATATTTTCGAGATAGGATCTTGCAAACAATTTGCCTGGGCTGGCTTCAAACCACCATCCTCCTGATCTCTGTCTCTTGAGTATCTAGGACTACAGGCATGAACCACCAGTGCCCAGCTGTGAGTGTCCTGATCAATGTGATGCTGGAGTTTTTATGGCTAGCCACTTTAACAGACATTAGTGTGCCAAGTGTTTTCTGACTTACTACTTTAATAAGTCAGAAGACAAGTAATTGTGTATGGATTAATAAAAGTCATGAACTAACAATGACAAAAGAGTAGCTGATATTCTGAAACCAAACAACATATGACAAGGTGTAATTATTGGGGACTTGTGATTTATTTTGTGATACGAATTTTTATTTTTACTTTTTGGGGGAGTACTGGGGTTTGAACTCAGGGCCTCACCCTTGTGACAGGTGCTCTACCACTTGACTCACTCTACCACCCCTTTTTTGTGTTGTATATTTTCAGGATAGGTCTCAATAACTATTTTGCCTAGGCTTTCTTCAAACTGTGTTTCTCCTCATCTCTGCCTCCTGGGTAGCTAGGATTACAAGCGCGAGCCACTGGTGCCAGGCTGAATTTTTATTTTTCATACTGCTCAGTGTAAAGATTCCCACGAAGTTTTCTGGCTTAGGAAAAGAAATACACAAATAAAACAGGAGAGAACAAAATTACAGAGTGGTGGGAAGAGGTTTTGCCAATTGTTTTCAGAATACAGGCACTACTCTATGAATAGTAAGTAAATCTACACAAATAACTTCACTAATATTCATTCCTTTCATCTCTGCTAAATAAATATGAAATATGGAGTTAAAAGAACCTCAGCACAAATAAGTTGCCTGCCTAGGGAATGTGAGTATCTGGCTGGCTCTGATGACAGTCCTCCAGAGAAGGATATGCAGTCAGACACAGGGAATGACCAAGATGAGCTGCAGGTGCTGTGTCTCTTACCTCTGCATAATGTGCCACCTGCGCCAGCTCCACCTCTTCATCCCCTTCCCAGTCTCTCCAGTTGTCATAGTCCACAGACAGCCACACTGGCTGCAAAAGGAAGCAGAGTCATGGGCAGGCAAGGCAGGAGTAAGAGTGCAGAGAGGGCTGTGGAGTAGCTCAAGTGATAGAGCAACTGCCTAGCAAGTACAAGGCCCTAAGTTCAGCCCCCAGTATTTCCAGGAAAAAAAAAGTGCATAGAAGAGGGAGGTCATGTATGTTGGAGCATGTTTTGGTGCAAGAGGATCAAAGGAGCAGTCCTTTCCATGGCACCACTCCTTATCAACCCCTCTTCAAGCAGGCATGTAATCACTGACACCTACCCCAGGAACTGACTAAGAGCCAAGCATGCCAGGAATAGCAGGGTTTGAAAACACAAAGTTCTGCCCTACAGGAGTAGATTGACTAGGGAGATAACACAGCTGGAAAGAGAACTCTTAATGAAGCATCACAGGAGTCAAGCAAGCAAGACAGAGAGGCTGTACCCCAGGCAGTCAGAGGCAACCCTGAGGCTATGTTCCCACATTTATACAGGAAAGACTTTATTCATGCATTCATTTATCAGATTTCTTTGTGTTTTGTTTGTTTGTTTTTGTTTTGTGGTTCTGGGGTTTGAACTCGGCCTCACACTTGATAGGCAGGCCTCACACTTGATAGGCAGGCGCTCTACCACTTGAGCCCCTCCACCAGCCCTTTTTTTATGTGTTGGGTATTTTTGAGATAGGGTCTCAGGAACTATTTGCCTGGGCTGGCCTTGAACCAAGATCCTCCTGATCTTTCCCTCCTGAGTAGCTAGGATTACAGATACAGATTCTTTGTTTTATTTTTTAACAGGTAATTTATGGACCACAGATCTGAGCTTGGTACTGGGATTATAAAAATGTTCAACACATGTCCAAGCCAGCAGGTAGAAAGTGGGAAAAATATAAGTAAATCACTGTAATAGTGTGAAAAGTATAGTGGTAGGGTTATATAGGAGATATCATGGGAACTCAGCCCTCCTAGTGGCAGCTTTGAAGGCTATGTAAGGGTTAGGTGAGTAAAGGCAATGATGATGGTGGCTTTCCAGGAAAAAGACACAGGTTGAGAAAAGGTACAAGGTAAGAAATAGCCTGGTTTGTAGGGAAAAGTTGCGAATAGTTTGTGATGACTGGAATAAAGTTTGAGGCAGAGCCTATGGGATGGGATGTATGCCATACTATAGGGATTGGACTTCAACCAAAGGGGTAAGAGTCACATCTTGAATGCCTAAAATTCAAACAGGTAACAGAAAAGAGTAAACTGAGATGGAATGCAGTTTAATGGAATGCCCATTTAAAGCTTCTACTGAAGTCAGCCAGGTACCAGAGGCTCTCAACTGTAATCCTAGCTACTTGGGAGGCTGAGATAAGGAGGATCTCAGTTTGAGGCCAGCCCAGGAAAATAGTTCATGAGACCCCATCTCCAAAAGAACCACAGCAGGGCTGGCAGTGTAGCTCAAGTGTTAGAGCACCTGCCTAGCAAACACAAGGCCTTCAGTTCAAACCCCAGTACTACAAAAACAAACAAAAAATGGAGTAAAATGGGCTGGAGTTTGGCTCAAGCAGTAGAGTGCCTGCTAGCTTTGCAAGTGCAAACCCTGAATTTAAGCCCTTGTCCCACCAAAATAAGTAAATAAATAAAGTTTCTATTTATGTTAGCATGACAGATTCTCCCAATTTTCAAATAAGCTATCTGGATTTTTTTTTTCTTTCTTAATGTAGCCTAGGCTGGCCTTGAACTTTTAATCCTCCTGCTTCTGCTTCCTGGGATTATAATCGTGTGCCACCACTCCTGGCCAAAATAGTTTTTTGTTTGTTTGTTTGAGGTACTGGGGCTTGAACTCAGGGCCTACACTTTAAACCACTCCACCAGCCTTTTTTTGTGATGGCTTTTTTGAGATAGCATCTCTAAAACTATTTGCCTGGGCTGGCTTTGAACCGCAATCCTCCTGATCTCTGCCTCCTGAGCAGCTAGGATTACAGGTGTGAGCCACAAGTTCTCAGCTAGTTCATATTTTTTAACATCAGCAACTAATCAAAAATTGCAAATGTCAATAACCTGTCAAAAAAATTGACACTACTATATTACAAAGCAATAACAATAAAAACAGCATGGTACTGGCACAAAAACAGACATGAAGACCAGTGGAACAGAACAGAGGACTCAGATATGAAGCCACACAACTATAACCAACTTGTCTTTGACAAAGGCGCTAAAAATATACGATGGAGAAAAGAAAGCCTCTTCAACAAAAACTGCTGGGAAACTGGTTAGCAGTCTGCAAAACACTGAAACTAGATCCATGTATATCACCCTATACCAATATTAACTCAAAATGGATCAAGGATCTTAATATCAGACCCCAAACTCTAAAGTTGGTACAGGAAAGAGTAGGAAATACTCTGGAATTAATAGGTATAGGCAAGAACTTTCTCAATGGAACCCCAGCAGCACAGCAACTAAGAGATAGGATAGACAAATGGGACTTCATAAAACTAAAAAGCTTCTGCTCAACAAAAGAAATGGTCTCTAAACTGAAGAGACCACCCACAGAGTAGAAGAAAATATTTGCCAGCTACACATCAGATAGAGGACTGATAACCAGAATATATAGGGAACTTAAAAAACTAAATTCTCCCAAAATTAATGAACCAATAAAGAAATGGGCAAGTGAACTAAACAGAACTTTCTCAAAAGAAGAAATTCAAATGGCCAAAAAACACATGAAAAAATGCTCATCATCTTTAGCAATAAAGGAAATGCAAATTAAAACCACACTAAGATTCCACCTCACCCCTGTTAGAATAGCCATCATCAGCAACACCACCAACAACAGGTGTCGGCGAGGATGCGGGGAAAAAGGAAGCCTCTTACACTGTTGGTGGGAATGTGAACTAGTACAACCACTCTGGAAAAAAATTTGGAGGCTACTTAAAAAGCTAAACATTGATCTACCATATGATCCAGCAATACCACTCTTGGGGATATACCCAAAAGACTGTGACACAGGTTACTCCAGAGGCACCTGCACACCCATGTTTATTGCAGCACTATTCACAATAGCCAAGTTATGGAAACAGCCAAGATGCCCCAATACTGACGAATATTAAGAAAATGTGGTTATCTATACACAATGGAATTTTATGCAGCCATGAAGAAGAACGAAATGTTATCATTCGCTGGTAAATGGATGGAATTGGAGAACATCATTCTGAGTGAGGTTAGCCTGGCCCAAAAGACCAAAAATCGTATGTTCTCCCTCATATTCGGACATTAGATCAAGGGCAAACACAACAAGGGGATTGGACTTTGATCACATGATAAAGCGAGAGCACACAAGGGAGGTATGAGGACAGGTAAGACACCTAAAAAACTAGATAGCTTTTGTTGCCCTCAACGCAGAGAAACTAAAGCAGATACTTTAAAGCAACTGAGGCCAATAGAAGGGGACCAGGAACTAGAGAAAAGGTTAGTTCAAGAAGAATTTACTTAGAAGGTAACACACATGCACAGGAAATCAATGCGAGTCAACTCCCTGTATAGCTATCCTTATCTCAACTAGCAAAAACCCTTGTTCCTTCCTATTATTGCTTATACTCTTTCTTCAACAAAATTAGAGATAATGGCAAAATAGATTCTGCCTGATAGCGAGGGGGCGGGAGGGGGTGAAGGAAGGGGGGGAGAAATGACCCAAACATTGTATGTATGTATGAATAAAATAAAAATTAAAAAAAAAAAGAACAACAAAAGAAACCAAAGTAGAAGGTAAAAGCATAAAGTAATGTGTTAGAAAATGATAAAAATCAATACATGATGTATAAGATAAGGGAAAAATAATGAAGTACACAAAATTTAGCCAATCTTATTATGAAAAGAAAAGGAGAAAGATGGCCAGAATAATAGCTCCCCCAAAATGTCCACATTCCAATCCTTGGAGCCTGTGACTATGCTATCTTACATGGCAAAAGGGACTTTGCATGTATGATTAAGATGTGAAACAGAGATTATCCAAGTGGACTCAACTTAATTGCACAAGTTCTTAAAATCAGGGAACCTTTGCTAACAGAAGTCAGAAAGATGTGACAATGGGAGAAGGGTTAGAGATGGGATGTTAGACTTGACCTGCCTTTGCTGGCAGGAAAGAGGAGGCCATAGAACTTGGATTCCCAGGCAAAGGAAAGTGAGCCTCTCGTGAAACTCCAGAAAGAACAGAGTCACCACCACTGATGTTAACCTGGCAATGCTCAAGTCACAATTCTCACATGCTGAAATGTAGTGTAATAAATGTGTACTGTTTAAACAACAAAAAAAATTGACACTGAAAAGATTGCTAAAACAAATGTGAAAGCCAGATTCAGTCAGCAGGTGGCCAGCTTTCAACCTTTAGGAGAGAAGCCACTGGAAGGTCTTAAGTAAGACAGCAATAGTCAAAGTGTCTTTGACTATGCTGAGGACAATGCAGAGGGTGGATTGGGAATGTGGCAGAAAATATGCAACAAACCTCCCAAAAACAAAGTTGAGCATGGTGGCCCATTTCTGTAATCCCAGCACTCAGGAGGCTAAGGCAGAAGAATGTCAATTTGAGCCCAGCCTTGGTTACATAGAGAGACCATGTCTCAAAAACAAAACAAAATAAAAACAAATAAACTGCCAGCCAGATACCAGTGGCTCATGTCTGTAATCTGAGCTATTTGCAAGGCTGAGATTAGGAGGATTGCTGTCCGAGGCAAGCGTGGGCAAACAATTCACAAGACTCCATCTCCGAAATAACCAGAGCAAAATGGGCTGGAGGTGTGGCTCAAGCAGTCAAGCACCTGCTTTGCAAGCATGAAACCCTAAATTCAAACCCCAGACCCACCAAAAAAAGAAAAGCAATAAACCCTGATGGATGAGGTCTGAACTAGAAAGAAATGCAGTAGTGGACTCAAGAATGTTTAGTTAAGCTGGGGGCAGAGCTCAAGTGGTACACCCAAGAGTTGGCCCTGAATTCAAACCTCAGTACTGCCAAAAAGATAAAAAGAATACTTAGGAGGTCAAATAGGCAGGACCTGGTGAGTCGCTGAATACTGGCTGGAAAAGAGGCAAGAGCAATCTCAAATCTAACTTAGGTGCCTAGGTACAGGCATAGAGAACACAGTGGGAGGAATGGAGGTGTGGCTCAAGCAGTAGAGCACAAGCGCAAAAACAAGAGCACAGAAGGAGCAATCCAATTCCCACACGATCACCTTGATATCCTCCTTGGTGAGTCGGGGCCAGGCCACCTTCTCCTTCCATTTCCTCACAAAGCAAGTAATGGAGCGGCCAGAGCGCTTATCCTGGGAATCCTACAAGATGGAAAACCTCATGGTTAGAGTGGAACTTTTAGTCTTGTTTCCCAGGGTAGCCTTTCCATCCAGACCCACTGTCTCACCCACCCTCACCTTGGAGTTCACCTTGGCATAGAACTCAATCTCGTTGTACAGCTCTACTCCATCACCATTCTTGCAACTGAGGAGACAATGAAGCCCAGGAGATGTGGCAGACAGTGTGGGGGCAGGAAAAGTCAGGCCCTTCAGAGCCGAGAGGCATTACCTGAACACAATGCGGTGATCCTCCAGGAGCACATGGACATCAGTGCTGTCCTCAACGCAAAACTCCATGAAAACATACTTGGGCCTGTCATACCACAAGGTCCGAGCATGCTGCCTGAAGGAAATGGAGATGGGGCTTCATAGGGGCAGCACTTGTGGGAGAAGTAGAGAGAGGGAACCATATAGGGACATTTGGTGCCACAGTCCTGTTAAAATGGAGCTGAATGAGACAGAAGTGGGTGGAAGGGAGTAACAGGAACGGGTGAATGTGGTGAGAGTGAACCTGGGAAAAATCAAAAGTGCCAAAGAGCAAGACTAAGGAAGCAGGGAGATAAGAATATTCGGGTCAAACCACTTTTCACCCCACAGTTACAGAGACCTAGCATCGGGGCTCCTGTGGAACCTTGCTGGAACGCCTAGAAGAAGACATGGGACAGAGAATCTCCAGGAGGACAAGGAGGGAGAGGGGATCAGTACTACGACCGGAAACTCACCGTGCCATGGTGGTTCCAGTTGCCCAGTGATTTTTGGAGTCCCAGACAAGGGCCTCTATCTTTAGATCCTGAGGACGGCCCCCAGCAGCTGCCTCTCCTTATATGGTTGGCAGAAGGGTTGAGGGAAGGGGAACGTGGTCCGACAGTCTAGGGATCTGCACCGCGGAGAGACTCTGAGAACTTAATCCCTTAGCCCTTCACCTCGTGGGGTCTCCAGAAGCATACAGATGAGGAAGAGACTGCCCACCCGCTAGGGCCAGAGCATGGAGATAACAGACACTATCTATGCACAGAACCACTTGTCCTCAGCCTCATTCATCTGTTTCTCCAACGCTTAGTACTCTGTGCCTAATTCACTATAGGCTCACAATAAAAAAAGAAAAAGAAAAAATGACTGGCTGGAATGAAGTCTCCAGCGTGGCCAGCCCTCTAGGGACGCTTAACTGTAAGCCCCGCCCACCACTCCTCCAGGCTGAGCGGCCAAGGCGCCGTTGCCATGGCAGCGAGGGGGCGCGGCTGACGTGTGGCGACGTTTCCGGAAGATGGCGGCTGTGGAAGCAGCTGCGGAGCTGGTAACGGCGGTAGAGACTGTTGGGCCAAAAGCAAAGGACGAAGAGGAGGAAGAAGACGAATCTTTGCCACCATGCGAGGCGGTGCGCTGGGCCCCGGTAGGGGCGGTGGCAGAGGCCGGGCCTGGGGCAGCTGCATTTGCGAAAGAGGCGGTAGCCGAAGAGCCCGGTGTGGCCCCAGGCTCCCCTCCGGACTCGCCCAGCCGGACCCTGCGGCGGCTGCGAGCCGAACGGCGGCGGCTGGACTCGGCTCTGCTCGCGCTGTCCTCGCATTTCGCGCAGGTGCAGTTCCGCTTGCGCCAGGTGGTGCGCGGGGCGCCGGCAGAGCAGCAGCGCCTTCTGCGCGAGCTCGAGGACTTCGCCTTTCGCGGCTGTCCCCACGTTCTAGGTTACGAGGGGCTCGAGGACCCCGCTGGCGATGAGGGCGACCGTCTGCCGGGGAACCGGCCACGGTTGCGGGGCGAGGACCAGGTGAGTGGCTGGGGCTGAGAATGGGCGGGCGAGGGCCGGGGGGGGGAGATAATGTGGGTGGTGATGTTGACCGGGCCAGAGGTGGAAATGGTGAGAAGCCGATCCAAGCCAGTATGTGAGTACGTGGATCCTAGATGCGGAGACTGGAGACAGAGGTGGAGGGCCTGAGGACAGAGAAGCCTGGGAGGCTGAGTGTGAGACATGTATTCGGAAGATGTGGAAGAACACCGTGTGATGGGGGAGCGGTGAGCGAAGCATTAGAAAGGGAACAGATACTAGAGTAATGCTGCTACCGCCTGTCTTGCCCATGCCTCATAAAGTCCTAATGCTGAGTACTTTTTTGGTGCTGGGGATCGAACCCACCGCCTTGAGTATGCCAAGCACGCGCTCCACCACCGAGCTGTGCACCTCGAGCCCCGAGCGCCTTTGCGCTCACGGTACTCGGGCCGTGAGAACTGGGAAAATGGACAAGTGAAAGGAAAGTGAGTTGGAGTCGGTGGAAATTTAGATTAATTACTTTGCTTTCCTGACATGGAGGTAGTCTTTAATCTTTACACTTTTTTTTTTCTTGGCAGTTGAGCTCAGGGCTTGGTGCTTTTTTTTTTTTCCTCTTACATTCTAAGCCATTAATTCAACAATTCTATACCTCAGACTGCTTTTGGCTCCTGGACTAGGCCCTCATTGCACCAGGCATGGGGGCCGTAGGGCCCAAGCAGGTTACCACTTGAGCCACTCTGCCAGCCCTAATCAATACACTCTCTTATTTTGTTAAACAGCACAATCTCTTAGTAATTGAAAGAAACACAACTCTTGGTTATTCATACAGTGTTAGCTATATGAATTAGCTAACGTTGGTATCTAAAGTGCTCCTTCATCCTGCTTAATAACTAGGTCCTCTGAATGAGGTCCTCTGGTAACTGACAGGATGGATTCAGTTGCCGGATTGAGAAGCAATGAAATTATGTATACCACACCAAGGAAAGTTTGCTTGGAAACGACAGTGTGGAAGTGCTTTCCTGTTGGAGGTATTCACACATAATGCCTTTTCACCTTTCTCTTCTGCAGATTACAACCCACATGTGGCTTTTTTCCCACTCAAATTGCTTTTAGCCAAGAACTTTTTATCAGTAGTAGATAGATATTGATTTCTGTATTTTAATCTGAGCTGTTTCCAGTGCAATCCTGTGTTTACTGTTCCACCCTTCCCTCCACATATCCACAGCTTCTTGCACAAGGAGCAGTCACCTGCCAGACTTAAAGACTAGAAAAGGTAGAATTATTTGTGGCCAGGCCTTGTTCAAGAGTGAATAGTAGGACTGGCAGAATGGTTTAAGTGGTAAAGTGCCTGCCTAGCAAGCATGAGGCCCTGAGTTCAAACCCTAGTACCAAAGGTTCTGTGTGGATGTGGCAATGTCTTTTCATTGTCCACTGTCACTTTCAGAAACAGTTAAACCAGGCATGGTGGTACAAGACTATAAAATCCCAGCACTCAAGAGGCTGAGGCAGGAGGATGGCAAATTTCAGGACAGCCTGGACTACATATCTGTTTCCAGGACAGCCTGGGCTACAGAGTGAGACCCTGTCTCAAAAAAAAAAGTACTGCTTGATCTGCCTAATGAGCAGCTGTACCCTTAGGTGGATACATTGACAAGTGCACAGGTAGTACCTAAGTGGGAGAGAGTTTTAAATGGAATAATTTGCTCTTATCAGTTTCATTTGTGTATGTGTGTTGCTAGGTATCAAACCCAGGGCCTATACATGCTAGGCAAGCTCTCTACCACTGAGTGATGGCCTCAGCCTCCCTAATTTTTTTTTTTTTTTTTTTTTTTTTTGTGGTACTGAGGCTTGAACTCAAGGCCTACATCTTGAGCCACTCCACCAGCCCTTTTTGGTGAAGGGTTTTTCCAAGATAGTGTCTCTTGAACTATTTGCCCAGGCTGGCTTCAAACCTCGATCCTCCTGATCTCTGCCTCCTGAGTAGCTAGGATTACAAGCATGAGCCACTGGCACCTGGCTCCCAGTTTTTTTTAAACCAGTGTTTTCTTTTATCTCAATTCATACAGGGAATTATATCTATTATTTCCTGCCTTGCACCAGAACACATTGCTCTCTCCTGTTAAATTTGTTTGCCCACACTCCAGCAAATAACAGACTGTAGGTACCATGGCAAATGGCAAGAGTTTGGCAGACATAGTCATGAAAACAAATCTGGATTTATGTCTGGCTTCTTTCTTCCTTGGTTTCTTAAAGTGATAATGCAACAAAAACAAAAATGAATTCCTTGGTTCTTTCCCCTTAAACTATTTAGGTAGCTTTCTCCACCAGAGTTCATTATTTGGACATTGTGACTCTGCACCCAATTTAGTTTAGTAACATACAACAAACATGTACTGAGAGCTCACCCTGTGCCAGGCACAGTGTTAGACATTGGGGATTCGAAGTCAAGGTCCTGTCCTTAAGGATTTCATAGATTATCATAGACCAATCCTAAACAAACACTGTAATGTGACATGAGCTGGAGTACAAGTATGTACAAATTCAGGCGGGGAAATGATTCTGCCTCGAGAAATCCGGGGAACATCTTAAAGGAGAGTTGGTCCTTTACTAAGCGGGGAAAGGGAATAGGACTCAAAGAAAAACAGTAACACACAGAAAGGATTGGAGAGGGAGTAGCCTAAAAGTTGCTTTCCCCTTGCTAAAATAAGAGCATTGCTTTTTTAAATATTTGAACAAAAAGTTAATTTATTGTCTTTCATTTGTTCTCTCTCATACCTTATTTCTGGAGGGCTTGGTAAGTACCTTAAAATTAAATTTGATACTATATAAACTTTTAGTTTAAAACACACCCTTATACCTACAAATGAGTTATTGATCTTGTTTTTTGTGTGTGGGAAGGGGGTTGTTTTTGGTTTTGTTATTGTTGTTTTCAGGCAGGATCTTGATATGTAGCCTGGACTGGCCTAGGAACCCTCAATCTTCCTGCTTCAGCCTTTCAAGTGCTGGGATTACAGGCATGTGCCACCACTCCTGGCTGGCTTTTTTTGTGTTTGATACTGAATGAGAGGAAGGAAGAACCAGGGTCCAAGAATATGTTGGCAAGACCTTATCACCCTCAGGCGTTTTTAATAATGTAAGTGTAGAAACTGCCTGGTGACTAACAGTTAGAAAAGGGAGTTACTGCTCAGGGAAACTTAGCAGACACTTAACACACACACACACACACAGTCAGGCACTGGTGGCTCATGCCTGTAATCCTAGCTACAGTGAACAGGAGGATCATGATTTGAAGAAAGCCAAAGCCAGCCTGGGTAAATAGTTTGAGAGACCCTATCTTGAAAATAACTCAACACACAAAAAAAGGGGTAGTGGGGTGGCTCAAGTGGTAGAGTGCCTGCCTAGCAAGAGTGAGGCTGAGTTCAAACCCCAGTACTGCCAACACACACAAACTGACACAGTTAACTTCCTCTCCTTGTTACTAGACTTTTAGATATTTTTCACAGCCTTTGTCACCTAGATTTTCTTGTTTCTTCTTTGTAGAAGTAATCTATAACCTCTCTGAGGGGCTTTGAACCTTAAGAAAACTGGTTGTAAGTTACAAAGCCTTTCTCTACACCCTTTACCCCCAGATTCTCTTGCAAAATTTGGCTTGCCAAAGTATTCAGGAGTTGTGCTGTGGTAATTGGATATGGAAGATGGCTTGTCTAATTCCCAGAGGCTATCTTGGGTACATTGTCTGTATCCTAACTAGACCTTTGTAAAAAAGCAACAAACAGCCTTAACAAAAGGCCTCATTGTATTTATATCCTACTTCCAATGAAAAATATAGACATTAATAAATTGCCCCATGAGCCAAGCATGGTAGTACATGCCTGAAATCGCAACGCTCAGGAGGCTAAGGCTGAAGGATTGTGAGTGCCAGACCAGCAAGTTCTACACCAGCCTGTGCCATATAGTAAGGCCCTGTCTAAGTAAGTAAATAAATAGCCCTAGTTAAATTTTTCTTATTGTTGAACTTATCTTGTGAATTGAGTATTTCATTTGGATTGTTTAGAAACATTTTATATTTTCCTCGTCATTACTGGCTTAAGAGAATTCTTAATATGCCTGGGATTTCCCTTTTCTGTGAAACAAGCCCAAGTCTTAGGTTTTTTTTTGAGGGGAGGGGTAGTACTAGAAATTAACCTAGGACCTCTTGCATGCTAGGCAAGCTTTCTACCACTGACTCATGTATTTCCTTATCCTAGAGTGAGCAGGAAAAACAGGAGCGTCTGGAAACCCAGAGGGAGAAGCAGAAGGAACTGATCCTGCAGCTCAAGACCCAGCTAGATGACCTGGAAACATTTGCCTATCAGGAAGGCAGTTATGACTCACTGCCACAGTCTGTGGTCTTGGAAAGACAGCGGGTGAGCAGACCTCAGAGGTGCCTCTACCACTGTGCAAGGTTAACCTCGTTCAGTGTTCCTGGAATAGCCTTTTCCAGTTTAGTTCTCCCATGGCTTTATTAAAAATCCCTACTGGTCACAATCAAAGAGAAATTTTACTGCTATCTAAAACCAGTCTTTATTACATGGAAAGCTCCGGTTATCCAGATTCCAAATTATTCTAATAATGTCACTATAAAATTTGGGCTATAATATGCCTTGATGTTTTATATTTTCCTTAGGTTGTTTTGAGTAGGCAAAGAAGGAATAAGACAGATTAGATGGTAGCCTTTAGAGAAACTAAGTATGAGGCTTTTAGATCATCAGCCACTTTGAATTATTCACACAGTTCTGAGTGAACGCTGATAGGCCTGGCAAAATATTTATGGTGAGAGGAACCATTTCTTTCAGGAAAGAACTGAGGGTTCACACCTGTAATCCTAGCTTGGGAGGTTGAGATCAGAAGGATCACGATTCAAGCCCAGCCTGGGCAAATAGTTTGTTAGTCCCCATCTCCAAAATAACCACAGCAAAATGAACTGGAGGTGTGGCTCAAGTGGTAGAGCACCTGCTTTGCAAGCACGAATCCTTGAGTTCAAACCCTAGTCCCACCAAAAAAAAAAGAGAAGAGATTCTGTGTCCTCACCTTGATTAGCAACAGTTTTATCATTTTCTTAGAAATTCAGAGGTCTGCATCGTTTTCATTTCCATTTAAGGATAGAAGCCTTGTTTAGATTCTCCTCCCTAACCATCTCCTAGAAGAATTCCAAAGGGTACACTTATTGCTGTGGTCTTGCTAGGTGATCATAGATGAATTAATAAAGAAACTGGACATGAATCTGAATGAGGATATTAGTTCCCTGACCACTGAAGAGCTTCGTCAACGTGTAGATGCAGCAGTGGCTCAGATTGTCAACCCAGCCAGAGTGAAAGAACAGTTGGTGGAGCAGCTGAAAACTCAGATCCGAGATCTTGAGATGTTCATCAGCTTCATCCAAGGTCAGAGGAGATGATGGGAAGAGAAGGGTGTACAGATAACATAATAATTATATTTATTCTGAGCACTATTACCAAAAGGTTTTAGTTTTCTTTTTTTTTTTTATTTCCTTTATTCATATGTGCATACAATGATTGGGTCATTACTTCTCCCTTCCCTCTATCCCCTCCCTCACGCTCCCACCCCCTCACTTCCAAGCAGGAACTGTTTTGCCCATAAGGTTTTAGTTTTCAATGCACCATTTAAGAGATTAGACCAGCATGGTAGAGTCGGAAGAACATGGGTTTTAGAATCAGACAGTTAAGATCCAGCTTTGCTACTTCCTGGCTTTATGTCCTTAAGCAGGTTACTAACCTCTTTAGTTGTATTCTCCTCATCTATAAAATGATGACTCATGTTTCATTTACTTAGCAAATATTTATTGAGCCAACTTTAGTATGCCAGTCACCATTTTACACAATGAAATAAGATCAAGAATTTGTACATTTTTAATTTTGTATATGGTAGGCTTCTTTAAATATTATTTTTCCTTTAAAAATCTCCCATAAAGGAGTTAAATAACTGTCTTCTCTTTGTAACTTCTGATTATAGATGAAGTAGGAAGTCCTTTGCAAACAGGTGGTGGACACTGTGAGTGCAAGGCTGATGGGAAGACAGGAAATGGCTCCACCAGAACAGGCAGTAGTCGACTGCCTCCAGGAAATAGCAAAAGTAAGTACAGCTTCCAGAATAAGCAAGTCTATAGAGACAAAGCAAATTAATGTAGCTAGGCATGGTGGCACACATTGGTAATCCCAGTATTTAGGAGGCTGAGGCAGGAGGATCAAGACTTCGAGGCCAGGGTTGGGAGCATAGCTCAAGTGGTAGAGCACTTGCCTAGAAAGCACAAGGCCCTTATCAAAACCCCAGTAGCACCAAAAGAAAAGAAAAAAAGAAAGTCTGAGGCCAACCAAGACTACGTAGCAAGACTCTGCCTTTAAAAAAAAAACAATCGGGCTGAAGGTGTGGCTCAAGTGGTAGAGCCTTTGCTAACAAACACAAGGCTCTGAGTTCAAATCCCAGTACCACATACATACACACATTAAAAAACCACCAGAGTACTGGAGTTAGGCTCAGTGGTAGAGTGCCTGTTTAGTACTACTGGGTTTAATCCCCAGCACCCAAAAAATAATAAAAGAAAAACCAACTGAATTGGGTTTGATCCCTAGCACCAAAAAGAACAAAAAGAAAGAAAAAAAACCAGATTGTACACTATAAATAGATGTGTTGTAAGGTATATGAAGTATATCTTATACAGCAAGTATCATTTTTTTGGTTTTTTTTTTAGTTTTGATTCACCATATATTGATAGGAAATTTCATTGTGATGATTTCATACATGCAAGTGGCTAGTATTATTAACCAAAAAAATAAGTGAGTCCAGCTGTATCCTGGTGGTTCTTGCCTTCACATACTGTGAAGCACACATACTGTGGCTTAAAACAAGACTTAATCACAGCTTGTGACTTGTCAAATGTACCTCTGTGCTATTAGGACCTCTTCCTATTGAATCACTGTCTTTTTTAAGCAGCGAAGGCAGAAGATGTGAAGAAAGCCCGGGAGACGGGCTTGCATCTGATGCGGCGAGCTATAGCCATGCTCCAGATCTTTGCCATCAGCCAGTTTGGTTGTGCCACAGGCCAGATCCCTCAAACCTTGTGGCAAAGGAGCCAGGCTGACAGAGACTATTCCCCCTTACTGAAGAGGCTGGAGGTATCAGTGGACAGAGTGAAGCAGCTAGCCCTGAGACACCAGCCACATGACCACGTCATCACTTCTGCCAACCTTCAGGACCTCTCTCTGGGAGGCAAGGATGAGCTGACCATGGCCGTGCGGAAGGAGCTGACAGTAGCTGTGAGGGACCTGCTAGCTCATGGACTATATGTGTCCTCCCCTGGGATGAGTCTCGTCATGGCCCCCATTGCTTGTTTGTTGCCAGCTTTCTCCTCAGCCCCGGAGACCATGCACCCCTGGGAGCTCTTTGTAAAATACTACCATGCTAAGAATGGCCGTGCTTATGTGGAATCACCTGCCCGGAAGCTCTCCCAGTCCTTTGCCCTGCCTGTTACAGGTGGCACTGTTGTGACCCCCAAACAGAGCCTACTGACAGCTATCCACATGGTGCTGACAGAGCACGACCCTTTCAAGCGCAGTGCAGACTCAGAACTGAAGGCTCTGGTGTGCATGGCGCTGAATGAGCAGCGTCTGGTATCCTGGGTGAACCTCATCTGCAAGTCAGGGTCACTTATCGAATCCCACTATCAGCCCTGGAGCTACATGGCCCACACAGGCTTTGAGAGCGCCCTCAACCTGCTCAGTCGCCTCAGCAGCCTCAAATTCAGCCTCCCTGTAGACTTGGCTGTGCGCCAGCTCAAGAACATCAAAGATGCCTTTTGATGAGAATGCCCAGACCTTCGACCCCCACTTTGCTCTGTAGACATGGATGTGCTAATGTTCTGAATAACAGCCAGGGAGTCAGAGGAAGGGTTAAAAAGATTTTTCTTAGATGCTGCTTATGGGATCAGCAAAATGGGTGCAGTTTGTTTTCCTCTCACAACTTAGCATCTTAGATGTGCTAGCAACCTTACTAAAAATATTTCTGGGGCTAGCTGGGAGTAGTAGTACACACTTATAATTCCAGCACTTAGGAGACAGAGGCAGGAGAATTGTGAGTTCAAGGCCAGCCCGAGCTATATAAAGACCCTGTCCAAAAAAAAAAAAAAATTCTGCCAGGCGCTGGTGGCTCACACAGGTAATCCTAGCTACTCAGGAGGCAGAGATCAGGAGGGTTGAGGTTTGAAGCCAGCCTAGGTAAATAGCTTGAGAGACCCTATCTCTAAAAACCCTTCACAAAAATAGTGCTGGTGGAGTGGCCGAAGGTGAAGGCTCTGAGTTCAAGCCCCAGTACCACAAAAAAAAAATTCCTCCACTGGAGTTGTGACTCAAGTGGTAGTACACAGGCCCTGAGCTCAATCCACAGTGCAGACAAAAGAAAAAAAAAATCATTTAGCAGGGAGCCATTGGCTTATGCCAAGTAGCTAATCCTAGCTGTCTTGGAGACTGAGATTGGGAGGATCATGGTTCAAGGCCAGCTCAGGCAAATAGTTCATAAGACCCCATCTGAAAAATAGCCACAGCAAAATGGACTGGAGGTCAAACCCCAGAACCACCACCACCAAAAAAAAAGTAATCCTGGGACTAGAGGTATAGCTCAGTGCAAAGCCCTAGGTTTAATAAATAAAAACCAAAAGGTTCTGTCCTAGCATGTAACCACAGTGCACATGTGGGCATGTGTGTTTGAACCTATGTTAAAGAAATCAGTCATGGCGCACCTGATTTTTAGAAAATTTGGGTTGCTCGAACCATTTTTTTTAAGGTGGTGAGTGACAATGTGAGTTGTTGGTCCTAGAAGACCATTTAACTTGAGACTCCTGTTAGTCAACTTGGAAACCATCTTCCTTCAATTGAAGAAGGTATGAGAGTCCTAGGGCCAGAATTTATTCCTTTTATAGGACTAAGGGTGTTGCTCAAGTGGTAGAGCACTTGGCTAGCAAGTATGAAGCCCTGAGTTCAATCCCCAGTACTGCAAAAATAAATGAATAAATGCCTTTTATGAATGTTGATTCCCCCTTTCTTCCTGAGAACATTTCTAAGGGAGTTAACCACAAGCTGATGTTACTATAACTTTTTTTTCTTGTGGAGATAAGAACTGGACTCCTCCTGACAAGATAATCCTCACAGTGTAGACAGTGGTCTTTCTGTTGATGAAAAATGAGAACTGGTACTATGTTCCAGCAAGTAAACTTTCCTTTGTGTGCCTCTCAACAAAACTGACACAGGAACTGGAGTGTGGCTCAAGTTGTAGAGTACTTGCCTAGCAAGTAGCAACCTCTGAGTTTCTCAGTTCAATCCCCAATACCACCCAAAAAGAAAGAACTGACAATCTTTTTGGAAGTAAATATATTCAAGATATACTTCTCAAGAGAATCCTTGACACTCAGTATGTACAGGAATACAGACCAGTAACCAGCAGCAGTGTTTCCTGGGTTGTGACTTGCCAGGCACCACTTATCCTGGAGGATGGATGATGGTGGAGGTCTGATCTCCCAGTAGGTACTAAAGTGGAGATAGGAACTATGGACTTTCACCGTGTACAGCCCAGGTGCCTGAGTGTTTCATTGTAAAACTGACTACGGAGCGGTCCAGTTTTAGTTCACATATGTCCTTCAGTTTGTGGTAGGTACTGCTCCAGGACTGACCAAAGATGGGTAGAATACATTACTCCAAACACTATGGATTCAGCATTGTTCTCCTGTTAAACTGCCTGATGCACTTTGTTTCTGCACTGTTGTGTTGTACATTTTAACTTAAATTTTTAAGACACGTTGATATTTAATTAGAATTAGTTCTATTTCCCTGTGAAACAAGATAGTGTATGGGGCTGGGGATGTAGCTCAGTGGTAGAGCTTGCCTAGCATGCTTCCGGCCCTGAGTTCAACCCCAGCATGGGGGAGGGGGAATGTGAAATGTGAAAAATTATATACCCGTGGTTCCTAATAAAATCTTAGTATTTTGTGTAGCATCTCTGCAGGGATTGTAGAGACCCTCAGCTTTGGTTTATAAGTCTGTGTGGTCTTATCAGCTCATCTGATCCTGATCAGTATTTAAGAACTCTCTGCCTCCTCTCTGCCTCCTCTCTGCCCTGAATTGACTCATATTTGTGGTGGCAGTGGGTTTTGTGTGTGTATTGTTTTTTCCTGATCAAATCACTTAAAAGTGCCCTAGCCATTTTTAATCCCTCTTGCCCAGGCCTACAATCCCATCCCCATAATAGATGTCACCATATAACCATATAGGCTGCTTTTGGAAATTGGCACTTTTAAATCTGTTCAGGGCTATGCCATATGGGTGGGGGATAACTGGTATAACCATATGGCATAGCCCTGAACTAGCCCCTATATGGCCTTTTACTAGTTCTCATAAAACCTCACTTGCATTAAGACTTTGTACAGCATGATGGGAAGCATTTTTGTTTGTGTCATCCTAATTCTCACAATTTATGGGGAAGGCCAATATTATCCTCCATCACAGCTGAGGAATCTGAACTGCAGAGAAGTTAAATATTTTGTAAACCCGGCCACCAGTGGCTCACGCCTGTATTCCTAGCTACTCAGGAGGATCCAGGTTTGAAGCCAGCCCGGCAAATAGTTCTTAAGACCCTATCTCCAAAAAACCCATCACAAAAAAAGGACTAGTGTAGGTCCTGAGTTCAAGCCCCAGTACCGAAAAAAAAAATTGTCCAGGATTATGTGATGATGGAAGAGCTGGGATTGGAACTCAAGTTGCCTAAATCCAAAACCTCTGGTCTTTATCAAAGAAAGGAGAGTCCTTTGTTTCTCTCCTTTATCCACCCCTTCACTTTACTCTCACTGCCAGAAATTTCAGCTGCCAAAGGACAAGGCTGTGGAGAGTTCAGCAGATAGGCATTGGTCTGCAAGAGCTTCATGAAGTGAAAGGTGTGTTTCTAGATACACTCCCAGCAGTCAGGTGCCTGCTAGGTGTAATACAGTGGAGCTCTGTCCCTGACTTGGGGTATAACACACAAGGAGGACAGTGAGCCCAGGTCTAAGAATATTCAAGAATGCAGTGAAAGAGCCATGGAGATATACTCAGTTAAAGTGCAGGTTCTGTTGTACAAGAATTATCTGCAAGGCGTCTTTAAAGATTTCTAAACTAGGGAGCTGGAGGTGTGACTTGAGATAGAGCACCTGCCTGGCAAGCACAAAGCACTAAGTTCAAACCCCAGTATTGCAAAACAAACAAAAATCCAGATTTCAAAACTAGGACTGGAATGTAGCTCAAGTGGCAGAGCACCTGCCTAGCAAGGGCAAGGCTCTGGGTTCAATCCCCAGTACTGCAAAAAAAAGAAAAAAAAATAGTTCTAAGGTGCTTTGCATTCATTCATTATTAAGTACTTAACCAACTGTCTGAGCCAGGCTAGACAGTAGAGAAGTAAGTGAAACATACACCCTGAGCCAAGGAATCAAGCAAGAGAGGCATCAAACCAATTGGAAATTAGGGGAGCCTTGGGTTGGGGCCCTCCCCAGAGCTTCCCAACAGGGTGGGACACCCCAGTAAGACACTCTTCCACAGGAGCAAAGATGCCTCCCTCACCCCCTCCCACCCTGCTTCCCCCACAACTACCCCCAGCTTGCTGGGAGCAGCTGCTGGAGCTGAATTACTGAATTTCTTCCCATCAATTCCTTTAGATACTGAAGCACTTTGTTGCCATCATGAAGCAAGAGGTCAACTCTCAGATTATTTTTCATTTCCAGTGATAATTCCTCATCCTATAAATTTCCATATACATCAACTGCAGGGCCAGGGCTCCCCTTTTGTGTTGTTTGTTTTTTGTTTTTGGTGTTTTGTTTTTTGAGACAGGGTCTCATAACAGAGCCCAGGATGGCCTTGAACTGTTATTTTGGAGGGGTTGATGAACTTGGGGCTTTGCGCTTGCTAGGCAAGGGCTCTACCACTTGAGCCACACCTCCAGCCCTTGGCCTTGAACTTGTGGTCCTTCTAGGTCTCAGCTTGAGCCACCTTGCCTGGCTATTGTGGTTTTTTTCTTAAGGCAACATAATAATTTGCCCATCTGAGTCATCTTCTTCTCCCTTCCCTTTTGCCAGGCAGATTCCCTCTTCTGTCACTCACAGTTTGTGCTTCCTGAATTTGGATGATGCTAGTCAGTCAAGGGAGGGCCTTCAGTGGATCTCAGTATGAACCTGCAGGTGCACGTTAAGCATCACAGAACTCATGGTACAGAGATAGAGGAAGTTGATGCCAAGCTGCCAGGTCAGGTTGAAGAAGATAAGTAGTGTGAGGGTCAGCCATTTGCAGAAGACCCCACAGGAATAGGCAAAGATGAGTTCAACCTGACAGTCACAACAATATAGTGTCCTAGTGCTCCCACTGCCGGCCTTCCCTCCAGCTCTGGCCCATGCCCAGGGAGCAAGGGAAGAGGCTGCTTTGAAGCTAGCAGTCCTCTATGCAAGCCACCGGCACTAACCAAGCATGTGCCTCCCCGGACTGCCCCGGAAATCATAACTGCAGTCTCACAGACCTGTAATTCCTGAAATCTGAAGGCTGAGCTAGGAGGATCTCAAGTTCAAGACCAGCCTGAGTTACATAGTTTCAAAGAAAATGTGTATTAAATTGGATATAGAAATATAACTACATAATGAGGATGATAAGTTACTGAAATTGGATCTTGAGGGCTACAGGGGACACTGCATCCCTGGGAAGCCTCAAGGAGAGAACTGATGAAACTGGAATTGTTGCTACATCTTGCCCAAAATGAATTCTTCAGTGTTCAGGTAAGCAAAAAACTATACATTGGTTTCTCTTTCTCTGAACTTGAGAGGACACCATCGGAGTGATGAAAATAATTTAGTCTAGCTAACTAGACTTGGGTTTGTTGCAGAAAACATTACAGACAGTATGTCTGACCAGCGAGAATAAGACTCGAACCCAGGTGGTTGGAGGAAAGGAAGGTTTATTTTGCTAGCAGGCCAGCACCTGGATATCTCCAAACTGGCGCAGGCCCCGGGCTCAGGGTGGTTGAGGTTTTTATATTGAGAAAAGCAGCAGCAAGCAAGCAGGGAGTACAGAAGCAGACTTGGCAGTT